CTGCCTCATTTCTCTGCCTGCTCCAGACTCCGCATAAAAGAGGCCTGAGACAATCAGGTCTACAAAGGGGAGGGCAGATAGGGGTCAGGGCAGGAAGTGTGAACAGGCCCCTGTCAGTCCCCTTGGCAAGAGGCTTGATGCAGCCTGGACCCAACTTTGGGACAAAGCTGATTTTACTGGTTTATCAGGAAGAAAGAATAAAAAATTGGTGGGAGGGGCCAGAGATAATGAGTTCCAGGTGAGTAATTCCTGCTTTTTAAGCCTGAGTTCTAGGAAATTCAAGAGGTAAATCCCAGCTCCGCCTTTTACTAGCTGTGTGATCTTGAAGAAGTTGCTTAATCACTCTCTGCCTTATTTCCTCTCTATATAAAGTGGGGATAACAGCATCTAACTAATAGGGTTGTTGTAACAATTAAATGAATTGATCTGTGTAAATATTCAACAGTCCTGGAACATAGTGTCGGCTATAATTATTATCATTACTCTTGGGCAGAGGACTAAAGGCCTCTGGCCTTGGGAGAACCTGCCCTAATCAGATGGATCCTCTGCCCTTAATGGGAACAGGGCTGCTGGTATTTAAATTGATCTGTGGTGGCATCTTTCAGTCCCTCTGAGTTGGGATATGTGCTGAGTGGATGATGAGTGAATGAACAAATGAATGAAATTCTCACATCAGCACAGGGAAGCTGCTGGGACAGGAGTCCTCTCCTTACTCTGATGAGGAAACTGAGGTCTTTTGGGTGGGGGGCTGCCCAGGGTCACACAGTGAGTTCACAGAGAGCCCAGTCTAAGAATGGGACCTTCCCTCTTGGCCCCTCTGCTGCAAGTCTCTCATTCTTTCCGTTGTATACACATCTCCCATGTTCCTAATGGCAAGAGTGATGGTCGATGAAGAGTTGTTCAGTTGCTTAAAGGAGCAAGGATTTTGTGTCCTGAGAATTCGCCCAGGCTGTCCCCCACTCCACGAGAGGTTGCTCTGGCCAGCAGAGACGCCCACTCTTTAGGCCTGCCTGACAACACACACGCCCCTGCAGGCACTGGGCAAGTCCCTGTCCCTCTGGGTGAGAAGGAAGGATGACATCTGTGTTTTCCACATGTCTTCAGAGCAGGGAGACCCTTTCTTTGAATGAAATCTTTAATAAAATCAATGGATGAAAACAGAGCTGCTGGAGTTGACCTGGCCCACACAGCTTCCCACTGCAGAGACCTGAGAGCCCACTCAGCAGAAAATTCCTAGACTAGTTGGTCCCTGAAGGCTTTTCTGCTCTGACTCCTCTGGTACTGGGAGATGTGGGTCTAGCAACATTAAGATTCTTAGAGATGATAAGAGGGTGTAGGGGGTCCTGGCTGGGCCAGAGTCCAGGCTGGGCTGGAAGGTATAAATGATCAGTGTGGTAGAGGGAGAGCTGACAAGCTGGGAAGACAGAGACCTGGGCTCAAATCCCAGTTTAGCCACTTACTGGTCAAGATGTGACCTTGAGCAAGGTACTCAACTTCTCTGTAAATCGACAAAATGGGTTGATAATAACTGCCTTGCAGTGCTGTTACAAAGGTTGGTAACACATATAAAACACCTAGCTCCATGCTGGGCATGCAGTTTAATAGCTGGTAACATATAAGGAATGAGCCCTGGTAGCGCAGTAGTTGAGCACTTGTCTGCTAACGAAGAGGTTAATGGTTCGAGCCCACCAGCCGCTCTGCGGGAGAAGATGTGGCAGTCTGCTTCTACAAGGATTACAGCCTTGGAAACCCTATGGTGCAGTTCTACTCTGTCCTATAGGGTCAGTATGAGTCAGACTCAACTCAACAGCAACAGGCTTGGTTTCTTTGTGGCACAACAGTTAATGCTCACCTGCTAAACAAAAGGTCAGTGATTCAAATCCACCCAGCGACCCCATGGAAGAAAGACCTGGCAATATGCTCGTGTAAAGATTACAGCCTAGAAAACCCTGACGGGCAATTCTGCTCTGTCACATGGAGTCACTGAGTCAAAACTGACTCAACAGCACACAACAATTATTAGGTACAAGAGGCTTCCAGTGAGCCCAAGGCCATCGCCTCTCTCTGACTCCATCACTCTTGCTGTACACTGAAGTCCAGCAGGGAGACAAGAGCTAGGAGCAGGACCTGAAATCCTCTCAAAGCTGGGCCGAGCATCTCCTGGAATTTAAGCTGCCCCAGTTGTGCAGTGATTTTTCAGCAATGCCCACTATCCCAGCAGCTGTGGGGTGTATCTGTAGTTAAAGAGTAAAGTGAGACTGGCACCTATGCAGCAATAAGGAAACTGAGGCCTAAACGAGACCAACCTTACAACTGTCTTTATGGCATGTCATAAAGTCCCTGTGTAGATAGACATCTGTGAGTGCTACCTGACCTGAGAGCTGAGACAAGGTTGGGCTTGTGCTAAAGGCCCATTGGGCCTGGGTCACCAGGTCACCCAAAAATGTCACTTTCTCTTGGGAACTCTTAGGGAAGCCACACACTGTCCTATGGGGGAAGTCTAATAAAATGCATATGGCTATGAGGGGAATAGGCCTGGGCCAGGATTCTGGATGTGTGTGTGCATGTGTGGGTCTTGGGGGCGGGGGGAGGGTCATAGCCCTAACCTGCCTTCTGCAAGGTCCCCTCCTCTCTTCTGAATGAGAAATCATCATCCTCTGAAACCTGCCAGATGGTCACCTCCAGTCCTACAAGGTATCACTGCTGTCCTGTACCCACACTCACGCCTTTGACTCTTCCCTCTCATTTACAGTAAGTTGGTCACCAATTCTTGCAGATCCATCCTTTCCTCCTCTCCAACCCCCGGCCCTAGATGCCTCTATCATCTCTTGCCTGGGAAACTGAAGCCGCCTCCCCCTGGCCCCCCACCTCCACTCTCCATCCCATCTACCCTCCATGCTGGCACAGCTCTAGTCCTGCTGCTCCTGGATCCATGCAATTCACTGGCACTCCAGCCCCATAGGGTAAAATCCAAATTCCCAAGACCTTCTTGGATTTGACTGCCTCCTCTAGGAAACCTTCCATGGGCTCCCTTGCAGAGGAGATCTCTTCCTCCCTTGAGCTCCCGCCCCTCTTCACCTGCACCTGTCTGTGGCTTGGATCACTTTCTACATCTTGTTGGAGCCATGTGATGCCTGCCTATTTCCCTAATCAGCTTTATTTATTCATTTCATGACAAATGAACAGTCCTTGAGGACAGTCCTTGCAGACTGAGTCAACAGCTTGGTAGTGAGCTGATAGATGACAGAAGAGAGAAAAGGGAAGGAGGGACGCAGAGATGGATAGATAAATGGATGAACAGATAGAAGGATAGACATATAGCTGGATATTAGTTCTGGAAAACTGATTCTTAGGGAAGAAGCCAGAAACTACTGATTGAAATGCTGCCTTAGAGAATTTGTAAGTTTTCTCCTAAATTTGCAAAGAAAGGAGCTGATTTCCCAAGTAGAGGTCTCAGAATGCTCTCTTGCATCTGCCATGCTTTGTTCCATCATTGCCCATTATCCTTGGTCTTTAACTACATGACAACCCCCATGTTACCTTTCCATACTGGGAAGGACCCAGGAGATCATCTGGGTCACCTTCATTGTACAGAGACAGAAAGAGGCACAGAGTGGAAAAAATCTGCTCAACATCACACAGCAAGTGATTATGAAACCCACGCTAAAAGCCAGATCTGTCACTGCAGCCCAAGGAAAGGCAGATTAGGAGCAATGCCAGGGAAAGCTCTTATTCCCACTGCTGGCACCTCATTATCCCTATAGGTGGCACAGGGTTAAATGGGTTTGGATCTTGGAGAACAGACTCAAGAAGGACCTGGCTTTACCATCTGAGGCTGACAACCCCAACTTTCCATCAAGCAGAACTTCTAAGCTCTGTTCATTTCAACAGTTGTTTATAACAGCCTTCCATGAGCTGGGAACTACAGAGATAAAACCTGGCCCCTGGCCCCAGACCTGTGGGAAACAGGTCTGTGGCTGGATACATGTGCTAAGTAAACTGTTGGGAGGACTGCAACAAAGTGAAGGCAGGACCGGGGCCATTGCTCTGCCTGAGAGCATCAGAGATGGATCCTGAGCCCAGGAGATGGGCCCAGAAGGAGGGGAAGGATTTTCAGCCTCACAGAAGGGGTGAGGTCAGTGGTGGTGGTGAGAACTGGGAAAGGGAACCCGGGAGAAGGGAACAGTGTGACAGTTTCCGGATAACTTATAGGGTACAGGTAAGGGGTGAGAACAAACTCCCAGAGGGCCCGAGGGTGGTCTGGAGAATGTGTATTTCTTCACCCTGCAGACAATGGGATGGAAGGTATGAGCAGGGAATGACAGGCTGCGCCCTGCATTTTAGAAAGTTCACTCCGACAAACACTGTGAGAGGGTGGGCAGCCAAAGGCCAGAGATACAGGGAGGCGTCTGTGCGGGGCGGAGCCAGACTGAGCCTGGCACAGGGCTTGGCACATAGGGGGCGCTTAGGAGAGGATGAACCACGGAAAGAATGAAAAGGATTTTCAGAGCTGTCTTTAGGAGGGTTGGACTGGGCCAGCTGCTTTGTAGCGAGAGATGCTGCCACAGTTTGGTGGCTTTTTCTAATTCTAACTCTGTTCTCCTTCTGAAACAAAGCAAACGCCACGCCTTGGCTGCAAGCTGAGCGATAATCCCATCAGCGCCTGGAAGCCCTCCCTGACGCAATCTCTGGCTCGCAGCCAGGGGGACCCTCCCTCTGTCTGCCTTCCCTCCCTCGCTCCCAGCGGCCTGACGGCCACCCCAGCTTCCTGGCTGCCCCGGAAACTGCCCGTGCTGCGCCCGAGGGCACTTCGCACGCGCGTCCCTCTATCCCACATCCGGGGGTCCCGCAAGGGAACCCGAGCTGTGTCCCCCGTGCGAGGGAGGCTGTCCCGTTCCCCTAGGGACCCAGGATGCCGCACGTAAGGGTGGTGGCGAGTGTCTGGGAGCCTGGGGCTCCAGAGCCATCCCTCACCCTCGTGCGGCCCACTGCCTTCTCACCTGAGTTGCCCATGGCCGGCCCGCTCGCTCCTCGGCTCCTGCTGAGGCTGAGCTCAATCCCGGCCCCGCGCCGCTCCGAGTGCCGGGCGGGAGGCGGGCCGCAGCCCCTCCCCGCCGGCCCGGCCCCCGCCTTATAAGGCAGCGCCAGCTGCAGGCCGAGGCGCCCGGGGCCACCCCGCCGGCTGCCCGGAGGAGGCGCCGCGCCCCCGCCCTGCGCCTCTCGGCCCGGCCCCTCAGAACTTTCTCCTTGAGCCCGGAAGGGACCTCAGCGACCTCAGCGCTATACAGATGCGACGGGGCACCTGAGGCCCCAGCCCCGAGATGTCATCTCCCGGGAGGAGAGTAGAGAGTGCGTGGGGAAGCCTGCACCTCCCACCGACTGCGGGTAGCTCCTCAGCGCCGAGCGCGCTCGGAGCATCGCGGCGCTCAGTCACCGCGCCAGGGACCGCTCCCGTGCTCCCACCGCCTCTGTCTGACCCCTGCAAATACCTCAGGCTCCGAGTCTGTCCCCTCGCCTCCCCAGTAACCCTGAACTTCCAAGGGCTTGTCTCTTTCTCTCCCCAGTACACTGTCTCTTAGCGAGTCCGGGTCGGAGTCCGGGCACTCCCGCACCCGGCTCTGACCTGTCCCCTAGTTTCTCATTGCATATCACACCAAGTCACATTCCCTACCTGGGTAGGGATCAACCTCAGACCCATCTCCTCAACTCCCTAACTTTATCCCATGCTCCAGTCAAACTAAACTTCTTGATATTCCCAAACTCCACCTTCCAACTTTGCTCAGGCTGTTCCTCAGCCTGCAGTGCTCACCCATCTCTGCCCATTCAAGTCCTATCTGTCCCTCAGGTCTGTGGTCCCTCAAACTTCCAGAATTCCCGACTTTCCCCAGTCCTTGGGGTCACTGGTCAGTAAACATCTGGTATTAGGACTTGGTCCCTGTCACGGCCCGCCCCTGCTTGTGAAGAGCACTTCCTGTAATGCACAGCCTGGGTCACCTGTGTGAGACTCCCCAGAGCCACCCCTTATTGGGGAAGGGACTCAGTAAACCTTGTTGTCAGTTGTTGTTAGGTGCCGTTCAGTCGATTCCGACTCATAGCGACCCTATGTACAACAGAACGAAACACTGCCCGGTCCTTCGCCATCTGCAAAATCATTGTTATGCTTGAGCCCATTGTTGCAGCCACTGTGTCACTCCATCTCGTTGACAGTCTTCCTCTTTTTCGCTGACCCTCTACTTTACCAATAAACCTTAGTTGAAGGAAACTAATTTTTCCTACTTTAAGACTTTCCAATAAGTAGGCACTGAGGTGAATTGACCGGCTGGTTATAAGGGTATAATTTATAGTATCAAAAGTTTACAGCTGTCCAGTAAGGTAACGGCAGGGCTGAGTACTGCCCTCTCTACTCCTTCTCCCTGTGTCGGGCAAAGGGAGGATGACGGTCAACTTTTACTATACTTTAGTATTTCAAATAGTGTTAGAGTGGGCCAAGCTGGTGCCCACTCTATTTATAAGTCAAAGGGGACTTCTGGTCCCAGGTGAGAATCTTACTCCCTCTGTTAAATTGCCTCTCCCATTTTGGAACAAATCCTCATTGAAATGACCAAATGAAGCTAGTAGGAAGAATTCCATATGGCCCCTAGAATCTCTAGAAGGCTGTTTCCATGTAACCTAAACTTCAAAGCCATGGACGTAGACAGCTGAACACAGTGGAGACACTCACTGCATGCAGAGGGAGGCCCATCTGAAGATCAAGTTTCACTCACATCTCCATTTTCAGAGATGAGGGCTGGAGGCAAGAAAGGGCTTGAGTGTGGATGGGGCGTAAATTCTTACCTTACTGGTATCTTTGGAGTCTGTGTAGTGTGGGATGCTGTGGGCTCGTAGCAGCAGGCATATGGAAGGGACAGTATGCCACGTGGAGTTAGGACAGTGCCAAGCTGACCCCTCCCAAGGGCTGTGGGCTGGTTGGAGAGGGAGTCACTGCCCAGCTGGTGCCCAGGCAGCAGACACTGATAAGAAACAAATCGCAACAAAGGTCAGACACAAAGGGGAGTGATTAGCCCAGATTCCCTGCAAGAAATCAGTTTTCTTCAGGCTTTTTGTGTCCTGTTTAAGAACTCCTTGCCTACCCCAAGACTGTGAAGATGTTCTCTGTATTCTTCTAGAAGTTTTACAGTTTTAGCTCTTGCATTCATTTTGAGTTAATTATGGTATGTGGTGTGAAGTAAGGGTTGTGACTCTTCCTTCCTCTCTTCCTTCCTCCTTCCCTTTTTTCTACCCTTTTTTCTTTCTTCCTTTCTTTTATTTGGCATGTGAATATCCAACTGTTCCGCTACCATTTCTTGAAAAGGTTATCCTTTCCAAATTGCGCATATATGTGTGGGTCTATTTCTGGACTCTATACTGTTCATCAATACTATTATCAATAGGTTTTTCAATACTATTGCTCTTCTCAAAGATGTCTATTTTTACACTAATACCACGCTGTCCAGATTACAGCAGCTTTATAGGAGATCTTGAAATCAGGTACTGTAAATCCTTTTACTCTTTTTTTCTTTTCAAAGTTGTTTTGTTCATCTTAGGTCTTTTGAGTTTCCCTACATGTTTTAGAATCAGCTTGTCAATTACTGGGGGGAAGAAAGCCTACTGGGATTTTGATTGGGATTGCATTGAGATTGCATTTATAGATAAATTTAGGGAAAATCGACGTCTTAGTAATGTTGAGTTTGCAGATCCATCAGCATGTATACCTTTTCATTTACTTATATTTATAGCGTTTTTAAATTGTCTCAACTATGCTTTGTGGGATGTTGGTCTATAGTTTTCTATTCCTATAATGTCTTTTTCTGATTTGGGGATCAAGGGAATGCTGGTCTCAGAAAAAGCTGCAAAGTGTTCTTCTATTTTCTGAAAGAGTTTGTATACAACTAGTATTATTTGTTTCTGAAATACTTTCAAGGAATCATTAGTGAACTTCAAACTCTGCTTCATTAATAGATACAGAACTATTCAGATTATCTATTTCTTCTTGAGTGAGCTTTGATAGCGTGTATCTTTTAAAGAATTTGTCTATTTCAACTAAGTGTTTGAATTTATAGGCATAAAGTTGTTCATAATATTTTCTTGATATCCTTTTATTGCCTGTTGGCCTGTGGTGACATCCCCTGTACCATACCTGATGTTGGTAATTTGTGTCTTCTAGAGGTTTAGTAATACCATTGATCTCAAAGAACAAGCTTTTGGCTTCATTGGTTTTCTCTATTGTTTTCCCATCTACTATTTCATTGATTTCCATTTTTATCATTATTATTTTTTTATTCTGCTTACTTTGGATAATTTACTCTTCTTTTTTTTTCATTTTCTTAAGATAGAAGCTGAGGTCTAATCTGATACATTGTGTTTTCATTTTCACTTAGTTCAAAATGATTTCTAATCTCCATCATGATTTATTCTTTAGTTATTTAAAAATGTTATTTAGTTTCCAAATATTTTGCAATTTTCGGGATATCTTTCTGTTATGGATTCCCAGTTTAATTCTGTTGTGATCAGAGAATATACTTTAGATGATTTCAGTCATTTTATATTTACTGAGCCCTGGTGGCACCGTGGTTAAGGTGATCGGCTGCTAACTGAAAGGTTGGTGGATTGAAACCACCAGTGGCTCCACAGGAGAAAGATGTGGCAGTCTGCTTCAGTACAGATTTACAGCCTTGGAAACCCTGTGGGGTCACTATGAGTGGAAATCAACTTGACGTCAACGAGTTTGGTTTTTTGTTTGGTTTTGTTTTACGGGCCAGAATGTGGCCTATCTTGGTAAATATTCCGTGTACACTTGTAAAGATTGTGTGTTCTGTTGTCACTGGGTGGAATGTCCTATAAATGCCCATTATGTAAAATTGGTTGACAGTGTTGTTCAAGTCTTTTATATTTTTACTGATTTTCTATCTACTTGTTCTATCAAATATTGAAAGAGAGACGTTGAAACCTTCAACTATAATTGTATACTTGTCTATTTCTGCTTTAAATTATATCAGATTTCCTTCATGTACTTTGAAATTTTTATTCAGTGCATAAACTTTTACATTTCTTATCTCTTCTTGATAATTGGACTCTTTTATTATTATGAATAACACGTCAACATAAAGAAAACAGAAGTCCCCACAACTGGACCTATGGTGCAACAGATTGCTTTTGTGTGGCCTTTCTTGCCATGGTCTTGTAACTCCCACCCAAGTGATTGGGTGGGACTGTGCAAATAAGGCAATTGCGGCCCACCAAAGGGATTGGTCAGTTTTGCCTTAAAGCCAATTCCAGGGCAAAGAGAGTATCCTGCCACCACCAACGAAGAATAGCTAGGAGCAGAGAATGCATTTTTTGGACCCAGGATCCCTGTGCTGAGTTCCTGGAACCAGGAGATAGAAACAGAGAGAAAGCTCAAGAAGCAGTGGCAGAGAAACAACAGCAGGAGATGGCAGGAGGCAGGGTGGTGGGATTCCCGGCCCATGGAATGAGAAAGCTGAGTGCCTGGGGTGCCTCTGGGGACTTACTGGCAGGACCTAAAAGAGTTTCATAACACTTTGCCAAGCAGGGCCGAGGCCTAGGACCAGAGCGCGTGAATTGTACCTGCAAGCACAGCCGAAAAGAGGCTAACTTGATGGAAGAATTGTATCCCGAACGTTCCTGAGCCTACATTGTAACCTGTTATTTCCCTAATAAACCCCATAATCATGAGTATTGTCTGTGAGTTCTGTGTGGTCATTGCAATGAATTATTGAACCAAGCAGAGAAGTAGAGTGTGCAATGGGAGGGACGGATGGTGTCAGAATTGGTAAAGATGACATAGAGAGGAGGCATGTCTAACCTCCACCTCATAAGAATCAGCCTCGGGCTGTTAATCTTGATTTTCCTTCCCCTGTGTGAAGTTAAGGAGGTCAGATACTGCCCCCACACCGTTTTTACAGGACGAATAAGAAATATCATGATAAACAGAAAATATTGAAGTTGTCAAGGATTTCATTTTACTTTGATCCATAATCAACACCCATGGAAGCAGCAGTCAAGAAATCAAACAACGTATTGCACTGGGCAAATCTGCTGCAAA